GACGGACCCCTTAACCGGCGACAACCCGACATACAGGGAAGACTGGAGGAAGGACACTTATCGCTTCATTATTTTTATTAGAAATTAAATTTGTATAATTTATATTTTTCATTATAAGTTTTGATTTTTATTTATATAGTTAGCTTATACCTAGTTAGGTTAGTAGCCAATAGAAACACTCGCGCTTAGGAGTCAGCAGCTACACTATTCCTACGTTACTATACGAAATTGCAAAAAGCAGAAAAATTTTTTACATCACTTGTGGATTTTAGAAGATAAAAAATACATGGTTTTTTACACCATTTTGTTAAGGGTCTACTTTGAAACCTTATAGCTTATTCAATATAAATCCTATCAGTATGCGAAATTTTTTTATAATATTTGTACCCTTCTGAAACATAATATTAAAAAGATTTTCTCTTATTTCATTAACTTTTCGAGATTATTTAAAACAAAGTTAAAAAGTTATCTTTTTGCCGAATAAACGGACATATTTGAAACAAATTGCAAATTGTGTAATAAAAGATTCTTTTAACGAAACAAAAATAAAAAATTGTTTAAAAAATTTTTCCAAAGAATTATTCATGAAAATGTTTTTTGTTTTATTACTCCCATTAAAGCAAGGTGCAGGTCCCTTTTTACCGATGCCCTTGCTAAATTACTTGAAAGAGGTCCTTAAAGTTGTAAATAAAAAGTAAGAATAGAAAAATTGTAAAAAAGGGACGGTAGTATATACTACTGTTATTCAGAGCCCTGCCGTTGATAAATGGGTATATCACGGTCCACACCTTGCTTTAAAGGGAGTAATCAAGTAAAAAAAGAAAAACATTTTCATAAATAATTCTTTGGAAAAATTTTTTGAACAATTTTTTATTTTTTTTTCGTTAAAAGAATCTTTTATTACACAATTTGCAATTTGTTTCAAATCTGTGTGTTTATTCGGCAAAAAGATAACTTTTTAACTTTGTTTTAAATAATCTCGAAAAGTTAATGAAATAAAAGAAATTTTTTTAATATTATGTTTCAGAAGGGTACAAATATTATAAAATATTTCGCATACTGATAGGATTTATATTGAATAAGCTATAAGGTTTCAAAGTAGACCCTTATCAAAATGGTGTAAAAAACCATGTATTTTTAATCTTCTAAAATCCACAAGTGATGTAAAAAATTTTTCTGCTTTTTGCAATTTCGTATAGTAACGTAGGAATAGAGTAGCTGCTGATTCATAGTTGCCTCAATGTAATACGATTTTTTTTACCTGAGTTATAAGCATTCAAAGACAGGGGTCTTTACATTTTGAACCGATAGTAAGATGATTTTCAGTGGTTTAACCCATCTTTTTAAAAAAGTGTCATTATGTTCTTGTGGAAGTTGCAATAAATTAATTTTAACAATATTTCACGTTTTATACGTTAAATTGAACAGCTGTCAGAACGTCTGGCAACGTTGCACACTTGATCATGCTCGTTATATGTTAATTTTGGGCGCTAAATTTTAAAATGTTGATTCTGATAGCATAAAAACTGAATGTTAACAAGTCATAACGTAATGCGATGCTGCCAGACGTTTTAAAGTACCGAGCAAGTCAAATCATAAAATAATGGTTTCTGTTTTGATTAGTTTAGTCAATCCCTATAACCTCCTTAAATTACACAGGTCTACAAATTAAGACTTTTTTAAAAGTTTTTTTGTCTTCTGAACACTATCCCGGGTTCCAAAATTGCGTATCACGTCAGGATTTTGAGTAAAGAAGGGGTAATTCTTCGAAAACAGTGTTTTTCACGGTTTTCATTTTTTTTCTTCTTAACCCGATGTGCCTTCACCACTTCTATATAAACTTAAATTAAAGCTTAGGGTAAAGTCGGTAGTGGCGAAACACGCTTTATTTTTTTGGTGTAGCACTCATATTTTCATAAATATCAAGGCCGCGCATCTATATCGGCGTCTTCAAAAAAGAAAGTTATCGCCAATTTACGATAATGTCTCGCGACTACCGACATCAGAAAACGTCGGTAGTGGCGAGACACTATATTTTAAATCACAGTTTTAATCGTCTAAAGATAAAGAAAACAAAGGAAATAAAGAGAGAACAAATAATTTTTATCATAAATTATTTTTTTAATGTAATTATATTATTTTATGTAAAGATAAAAAGTTAAAAACATAAGATATTTTTTAAGCACTTTTCCTTTCGAGAAATAAAACTTTCAAAGTTGCTTGAAACTATTATCAGCAGTGTGGCTAAAGATTTTACGTTAAAAAAGTGCGCATCATATAGAAAAGCTTTAGCACAATAAAACTACTTTTACACCAGAAGCGGCAGCACTGTTAACTCAGGTGTTTAAAATATCGCAATGTGTCGCCACTACGGACAACGCCCTATATCTTACACTTTACGACCCATATACGCAGGATAAAAAAATTGAAATTTTAAAAAACTGGGGGTTAATACCCCAAAAACCGTGGTTTTAAGGCAAGTGTTTCCAGTATTCTTTTTCTCCTTAACCTGACGTGCTAGGAACTTTTATATAGGCCTAAATTAAAGCTTATATCTGACAGTTTAAGATCCATATGCGGATAATAAAAAAAAATTTGAAATTTTGAAAAAATGGAGATAATAACCTCAATAATCTTTTTGGGTGACTTGAACTTCACTTTTTTCAAAATTAAAATTTTTTTTTATCTTGCGCATATGGCTTTTAAAGTGTAAGATATGAGCTTTAATTTTAGCCTATATAGAAGTCTCTATCACGTCAAGTTAAGGAGAAAAAAAATACTAAAAACCCTAAAAAAAACACGGTTTTTGAAGATTTTACCCCCATTTTACTCGAAATCCTGACGTGATTAGCAATTTTGGAACCAGGGATCGTATTGAGAACATAAAAATACATTGGAAACCACTCTGATGTCTCAAAAAACAATCCTTGCAGATCTGTGTTATCAACTTCATTTATGATTTTTTTCAGGGTTGAAAAAAAGGGAGAATTATCCAATCGTCCTCCTATTCTAATGATTCCATCTTCATCTAAAAATGGATTTAAAGAATAAAGTTTATTGTTTAGAGCTGTTTTTTCTTTTAAATGTTAAATATATTTGAGAACTAACTTTTGCCATGAAGAAAATTTGCATAAAAGGTTGATCAAATTATTATCAAAGTGGAAGTGTTAACGTGATAAATAGTTGATTTGGATTCTAAATTCAAGTCATTTGAAGATAGTTCAATTTGACTTGGCCATTGATCAGAAAGCTTAGTAAGCCAGTTTAGTTCATGACACCATAAGGTGGATGATTATAGGTCAATAGGAGTTACCCCACGAGATACTTGATCTGCTGGATTATTCTGCGTAGGGACGTGCTTCCATTTTTGAATTGGTAAAAGGGTTTGGATTTCAGCAACTCTATTTGCTACAAATAATTTCCATTTCGATGGGTGGTTATTTAACCAATCGAAAACTACTTTTGAATCAGTCCAGCAATGTAATGACAGATCCTCAAAGGCTCGTATGGTTTTGATGTAAACAAGGATGCGTGCAAGTAGCACTGCGGCTAGTAACTCTAATCTTGGGATTGTTTGTTCCTTTAATGGAGAAGCTCTTGATTTGCTTGTAATTAAAGAAACTTGAACATTACCGGATTTATCTATAACACGCAGGTAAACAACGGCTCCATATGCTACTTGAGAGGCATCGGAAAATCCATGCAACTCTGCATGCTGATTTGTTGGATGAGAATGATTCCAAAGAGGAATAGATATGTTTGAAAGAGACTTTAGAGATTCAATATACTTTACCCATTGATTTTGTAATATTGTATTGGCAAGGGATCATCCCAATTTAGTTTATTCAACCATGTTCTTTGCACAAGGATTTTTCCTATCGCAATGACTGGGGCAATCCATCCTAGGGGATCGAATAATTTAGACAACAAAGATAGAGTAAAACGTTGTGTTAAAATTTCTAGAATTTCAAAATTAATTAAAAAATGAAAAGTGTCAGTACTTGCTTTGCATGTTATTCCTATGACTTTAATATCCTTTTCGTTATTTGAATTTAGGTTCTATGAAACTCCATGATTTGAAGGATCAATGTCAGAGATTAGCTGAAGATCGTTACTTTCCCATTTGACTTGGTTCAAGTTGAACTTTCCCAAGCAGTTCAATTACATTATCACGAAGCTGATTTGCTCCATTCAAATGTTTTCCAAAAAGAAGATCGTCTACAAATGTATCATGCTGAAGAACTAAGGATGCATCAGGATAGTTACATCTTTCATCCTCCACAAGTTGCTTTAGAACTCTAAGAGCTAAATATGGGGCGGATCTGGTTCCGTAATTCAAAATATTGACTTTTGCATTACTTGAGAATATAAATTTTTTTAAAAAGATTAAGCGACGTGTCAATCACTTCTAGAAACATATCTATCGCTCTAACTCGCCAAAATCAGTAGTCAGATGTATAAAATGAAATATTGTTTAGGATTCCGAAGCAAAAACACTTGTGGTTAAGTTGTGATCGCACCTTAAATTTCGCGTGGGGTTCCAAACCACCCTAGTTTTCCATTCTAGGGTTAAATATTTTCATTAAAAAATTAATCAAATAACTATTCTATTTTATTTTTGAAGGTTGTCTTTGTACTATGGAAGAGTTTTTTTACTCTAAACATTTTTTGGACCAACTTACCCGCCTTTCCCCTAATTATAGTTTTTTAAAAAATTAAAAAATTTAAGTTCACGAAATCACATGGTGAACCACCTACTTTTAATAATTAATATTATTAAAGGAAATAAAATTTTTACATTTTACGTCTAGTTTTACATACATTAAAACTAAGTTTTTTAAAAATATATCCGCAACAACTTCCAGATGAAAGTCAGTGGACTGAGCCATGTAAAAAATCGAGTACAAATTTAAAAAATATAAAAAAAAAATTAGCCAATAAAAAGAGAATTAAGAAATGTTTTAAAAATTATGTGTGGTTAAAATTTACGTAAATTTTAGGAACCAGCAAAAGTGTTAAGAGAAACATTACAAAATGGTATATCATTAAAGGACAGATTGGGTATTAAGCTGGAACATGATATGCGCTATGGAGAAGTAAGGCTCGACCATTGGTTGCTTCATACAAAGGTAACTATGAATGGAGATCTTTTTTCTAAATTTGTTTGCAAGAAACTTTTTTCAAAACATTTGTTTCATATCAGTTATGGAGTTAAATTAAAAACAATTTTTTTCTGTTAATTATAACGTTTTTCCTATTAACAATAAAAAAACATTTGTTAAATTTTCTGAGAAAAACGATTAAATTTTTATTAATTTACTTAAATAGTAGTTTTAAAGTTTTTAAATATGTTAACCGTCTGTCAGGCGCATGGTGTCGGTAATTTTGTACTTCTCACTTTTGAAACTTCTTACCATCGTTAATATTTATAGGAAATTGAACGCTCTACAAAAATGATCTCCTACACTTTTTCGATAAACCTAACCATTTCAAAGATATTTAAGGTCAAACATTGAAAAATTTAAGAAAAAAATTTTTTTTTCTGAATTTTGTGACTTACTGAGTAATAATTATTATTGATTGAGCATCAAAGATTTTTGTAGGAAATTTAATGCTCTACAAAAATGGTCTCTTATACTTTTTCAATTACTCAAAGTATTTTGAAGAAATTCCCATATGAATTTTAATACGCATTGATATTCATACTTTTTTAAATAATTATTTTGAATTTATACGGTTCATTCATTACTTTTTAGATTATTCATGATTCAGAAGGTTTCTTATTCAAGAAATATTGTTGATTATATCACTAGAAAAAGAAATTTGAGTTCCTCATGTAAGATTTTATATTTCAATATAGTAATAATACAAAAATAAATCAACTTTTTTATAATTAGTTATGAAAATTAATTTTTATTACAATTAGGAAATTTCGCTCGATGGTCTTTGACAACTTAAAGTAAATATTGAAATTGGTCTTCTTTTTTTGTTAAGCACTGATTGTAGTCAGATACCAATGCTACTCCACGTTCTGCTGCGTTATTAACAACTTTCATTTGTTTGAAATATTCTTCATTTTCTCTATAACTCTCATCCGATGTCCACATTTCAATATCAACTTCAAGGAAATCATATGTCAGATCAAACATTTTGAACAAATTCAATGATTTTTGAGAATCAAAATCACTTAAATCTTTTTGAATAATCGAATTGATGTTCTTTCGATCAATCTCAAATTTCTTGACTTAAGAATCGATACTTCCTCGAGATTTCACAGCTTCGACTATCTTCTTTTTGATATTGAGTGGAACAGTGTCATCAAACAGTGATAAAACAGCGAGTTCATGATTTAAATACCACAAATGTGAAGTCAACTTCTCACAAGCTGCTAAAGAAATGGCGGCATTAAACCAAGCTTTCAAATAAACCATTATTACAAAAATGAAAATTTGCCACAGGCTATTCAATTCTTTTGCAGTGTGACCAAATTTATCTCTAAAAATAAATATTTTCAGGCTATAAATGGCTTTCGCCATCCATCTTGCATGATGGATTGTACCAGGATACTTAAAACAAACTTTATCTTGAGGAACCTCTTCAAGAAAAATTTGTTACAATTCTAAAAATTCCTTGTAATCATCTCGTGGTTGTTTTAACTAGCACATAAAAAAGACAAATTCATATGAAAAATTACCAATTGTATTTTATATTTATAAAAAATAACTATATTTCAAATATACTTGCAAGCATTGTCTGATGAAAGATGATATTTCATTTATTTTGCTTGAAATAACGCTAACGACTTCTGAATCTTCTTAAAACCAGCTCATGAATATGAAGGCGACATGGCAAGTAAATTAATACTCTGCCTAGAGCTTTTTCGATTTTTACGCATGTTCCTCGGTGAATTCCTGTAAAGTGGTGTCAGAATGTGATATAAGGAATTTTAAAAACTTTTAAAACTTATTTAGAAAAAATTAATGGAATACAATGACAATCTGTTCGTAAAACTAAAAACACAGCTGGACAAAAAGAATTGGATCGATAAAAAATCGTGATGAAGATTAAACAATATAAATTAATTACCTGTTTTTAGATTATTGGATTAATAATTGAAGTCGAATTTATAGAAAATATAATAAAGTTTATTTTAATCTTATACGAAGTATACACTGTCGCGTGGTCTGAACGAATGAATATAGTTATTAGTATTAGCGCGCAACACAGCAGCGCATGTATATGTAAGAGTTCAGGAGCGGACACACTAAAATCTCAAAACTCCCTCCTGTTCGCATCCTAACTCGTCCTTTAATTTATAATCTTCTTAGTCATTTCCTGTAAAAGAAAACAATATTAGTTTTAATTATTCATAATTTTATCAACCATATTTTTGTGCAGATAAAATGACAATGATTTTGTAAATATATCTGCCAATTGGTCTTTGGATTTAATCCATTTAATTTTAATTAAATTTCCTTTAACACATTCCTTTATATGATGTTCTTTTATTTGTATTATGTGTCGCAGTTTATTTCCGCTGTTTGTTTCCGCGCCTATTCCCGCAGCTTTATTGTCGCACCATAAAGTCATTGGAGTAAACGATTCAATTAAAATTGTTTTTAACGAATTATATAATGATAAAAGCTCTTGACTCGTCTCGCTCATTGCAACGTATTCAGCTTGGCATGTGGATAATGCTACATAGGACTGTTTGTGTGTTTTCCAAGCTATTGTGTCACCATACATTTTAATTAAAAATCCACTGGTTGTAAGAGAGTTCTTACAATCTGCAAAGCTTGCGTCTGAAAAAGCTTAAATATCATTAGTCTCACCTGTATATCTTAATTTTAATGATTTTGTACCTTTAAGGTATCTGAATACTCGTTTAGCCATTGTCCAATCCTCTTGGGTTGGGTTGATTTGATGTCGACTTAAAATGTTAACTGCGTATGTTATATCGGGTCTCGTCGCACTTGCCAAATATAACAGACTTCCTACGACTTAACGGTATGGAATATTTTTCTCGTTTTCGGTTTGATTTAATAAATCTTTGTCGTTTTCTGATTCTCGCATCTTTCTGTTTCGATTCGTTACTTGTGAGGTGTTCATTAGAGTCCTTTGAGAGTGTGATTCTGTAAATCCAAATTTCGCTAATATTTTGTTAATGAACTTTTCTTGGTGTAATTCAATAAATTTTTCCTTTCTGTTTCTCTTGATTTGGATTCCGAGAAATTCTTTTGGTTCGCCCAATATATTCATTTCGAATTCTTTGCTTAAATTGTTTTCTACTTCACTCATCTTATTTTTATCATTACTCGCCAAAATGATGTCATCAACGTAGACTAATAAAATTAAAAATTTCTCGCCTTCGCGCCAAATGAATAGACATGGTTCTAAATTTGTGTTTTTCAAACCCATCTTTAACACAGCTTTCGTAAATTTGTCATTCCAGCGTTTTGAGCTTATTCGAAGTCCATACATTGCTCTCTCTAATTTACAAACTTTTTCTCTATTTTTCTGAAAAATTCGCACCTTCAGGAATTTCCATATAAATTTCCTCTTCTAACATACCATTTAAAAAGGCTGTTTTTACGTCTAGTTGGCTCATTTCTAGATTATGTTTGTTTATTATTGCCAAAACTGCTCTGACTAAAGGCAATCTCGAAACAGGAGCATATGTGTCTCTAAATTCATAATTGTTCGGGTCTTTAAATCCTCGAATTACTAATCGCGCCTTAAAGTTAGTTTTTCCGTTTGTATCAATTTTTCGTTTAAAAATCCATTTTGAGTCAATAATCGTTGCTTTTTGACCATCTCTCATCTTAGTTGGCCTATCTACTATTTTCCATACTTTCATTTTTTCCATTGAATTTAATTCTTCTTTTATGGCATCTTTCCAATCCTATTTGTTTGTCATTTGCATCGCATCTTTAAAATTGCTAGGATCTGAATTAATTTCTGCTAATAAAGCATGTGTTTCTTCGTCAGTAATTAAATTTGTCTCGTCTTTAGTCAAATCTGTTGATTGATTTTTGTCTTGTAAATTTGTGGTTTTATCAATTACTTTTTCAATTTCAATTGCGATTTTATTTTTCTGAGGTCTTCCTCGTTTTCTTTTGATTTCTCCCTCCGGTAATTTAATGTTCGTCTTGTTTGTTCTCGTCTTTATCAAATTTCGTGAAAAACTCGTCTTTGTTTGTCTCGTCTTGTAATTGAGGGAAATCTTTAATACTATTTTTCTTGTACTTGTCGCCATAAGCTATTTTTTCATTCAATCGAACGTCTCGACTTTCATAATATTTTCCATCTTCAGGTCTGAGAAATAGATATCCAGTAGGAGTATATCCTATTAAAATCACACGTCTTCCCATCGCTCTAAATTTTGGACCTGTTTTTCTTTGAACTTTAATATAAGCTACGCATCCGAATCTTTTTAATTGATTTATATCGAAATTGTGATCAGGAGCAATCCTTACTAAAGGGGTAATCATATCGTTTGATTTGTGTGGGGTACGATTGTATGCGTAAACCGCCGCAGTTAAAGCTAAGTCCCACAGATTTTCTGGTATCATCGCGTCATAAATGTTACATCTCACCTTTTTCTGTATTGTTTGATTAAAACGTTCTGATACGCCATTATGTTGTGGTGTATCTGGGCTAGCTAATTGAAGTTCCGCGCCTAGTCTTTTCAAAACTTTGATCGTATAACCCCCTGTAAATTCTGTTTCCTGATCCGTTCTTAAGTAACATACTTTCGCATCGTAACCTAGTAAATTTTTCCCGCTTCTTATGAACATTTCGAAACAATGTCCAGTCTCGCTTTTTGCTTTCATGGGATATGCCATTGCGAATCTTAAGAAATCGTCTACAAATACGGATATATATCTGTATCCTTTTGGATACGAAATTGGGGTAATGGGACCCATCACATCAGAATGAACTATTTGTAACGGTTTTGTTGCACGAGCGCGAGTTGTTTTGAAGGGTAATTTATTGAATTTCGAAATTAAACAAATTTCGCAATCTTTTAATGACTCGTCAAAATCAATTTCGTTTAATTCTTTGTTTTCTGGATATTTAAATTGAAGGGCTTTTAAATACGCAGTCGACGCATGTCCAAATCTGAAGT